CCTGCTACTGAACTGAAAAAGCTCAGGTATGGAATAAAAGAGGATGGTACCACCAAGGCAGCTGAGCCCCTTTGTGGATAGAAGGGGTGAGATCCCCGTGTGGAGGTACCCTTCACTCCAAGATAAAATAAACATTGTAAAATTTAAAATGGTAGACGGTCATTAAAGGACAATTAACTGTTGTATGGGTTATTTTGGGGCCTGCTACTGAACTGAAAAAGCTCAGGTATGGAATAAAAGAGGATGGTACCACCAAGGCAGCTGAGCCCCTTTGTGGATAGAAGGGGTGAGATCCCCGTGTGGAGGTACCCTTCACTCCAAGATAAAATAAACATTGTAAAATTTAAAATGGTAGACGGTCATTAAAGGACAATTAACTGTTGTATGGGTTATTTTGGGGGTTGTTGGGGGGAGGGGAGGATAGCACGGAAGACAGTTGTCATCCTTGGTTGGACAAATTCACACATTTTCTTTAGCTTCAATCTCAGAATTTCCTTAATCAGTGCTCTTTCAGTACTAAATTTCTTCCACACACATCCCACCCCTCACCCCATAATTACATATTTTCCAAAATAAGCTTTCAGTTGCCTCCAGTATCCATGATGCAGTCACTAAAATATTAAATGGATTTTTAAAATGTAAATGTAGTTTATGTGATACCAGTTGAGACTAGATGTGTATGTGTGGAGGGGAATGGGGGAGAGTAATCTCTCTTTGCCATATTCAGCTATATTAGCATTCTCCTGCCCTCTCCCCCAAGGTCACATTTTGATATTGTTTCGCTTAAGTGAAACAGTTCCAGAGTGAGAAACTGCTGATTGAATAGAATGATTAAATCGTTGTTGGACTGAACAGATGAGAATGATCATCTACAGTTCTTGAGAGAAAGAAATGAAATCTGCCTGAATTCAGACCTGTGAATTTCACTCTCATCTGTTGTGTTCATACAGGCATGTAGTTGTGCCATGGTTTTCAGTGCCACATATGATAATTGTAAGTAACATGCACTGTCTCATATGGTATTGGTTACATTGTGTCACTTCAGAAGGAACTGGAGGGCATATTGTAAAATTTTTGCACCACACTGTACTTGTCTCTCCTGCTACCTTCATAAGCCTCAGAAATAACAGTGCTGTTATTTTCAAGAGACGATTTCACTTCAGATAGTTATTTAAACCTCAGAGAGTGGGGGAAAGATTTTTGAGCTAAAATACTAGGGAATATTTCACTGTGCACAATAGCAGTGTAGCATGTCTCTGTTGCTAGAAATAAATGTTTTCAGATCAGTAAGATTATGCTGAGATCTTCATCTTGGACAGACTAATAATATGTTCTTAAACCAGGCTAGTCATCACATTACAGGGGGCCTTGATCATGCCCTGTCCATTCTTTACAGCTAGATGGATGGATAGTCCCAGAAATATAGGAAGGATCCCCCAAAATTTTGATTGTAACTTGTGGTCACAATACAGATACATTTGGAAATACTGATTTAATTTAGCAAAGCTTTTTCCTTCATTTAATTTACTAGCTGTTTTTTTCATGTTCATTTTTCTGTATGCTAATTTGCTGTAGCAGACAGAAGTATTGGTTTTATTTAAATTCATGTTGACTAAACCATAAGCTTGGGTTAGACATGTACAGGTATACCATTTGCAGTGTTGACAAAACTCTTGTGATGTTGTCTTGAGATTCATGCTAATTGTTCTTTTTCTTACAGTCATAGCTCCTGAATTTAAGCCGATATGTGATGATTTCAGACTTAATTCTTAAAGAAAATGTATGTTTGCAGCCCTTATGGCTGTAAAGAGAGCCTAAAATGTGACACCAGTGCATTATAAAGGCTAAAAAAGCAGATGGCAACTAAAAAAGAATCCCAAATACAGTAGACT